TGTGCTCCAATCGGCCTGAAATTTTACACACGTGCTCCGAGTCTCAGCCAGAGCTCGTTTCCACCCCGGCCAACACGCACGCCGCCGCGGCTCACCACTAAACAGGAAGTGGCTCGCAACTAGGCCACACTTGCTCCGATCTGCCCCAAACTCGACATGCTGGATCACAGTCCCGCCGTGCGCGAAGGTCGACAAGCGTAGGGCGAGGACCCGTCCATCGCCGCTTGCGGCTTTAATTGTTTTTGTTTTCTTTTTAACAACAGAATAGGAGGTAGGCTTAATTGCTTTCTTGCTAAGTTAGATGCAAATACCACTCTAATATCAGTGTCTTAACCATAAAACTGGCATTAGGACTCGATAAGCTTAGATTAGCATAAAGGTTTCAAACAGCACTAGGCACAGTAATCTCCTGCAAACTCCGCTAGTTCTTTGAGCAACTCATGAAGTGCAGCAGGTATTTGGCCTAATTAGGCAGCTGTTAAAGGACATTTCCCCTCATAAAACCACAATTTGTTGTCATACATTTAAATTTTTCTTTAAATTTAACAAACATGCTGACCCCTATACAAATCCTTTGTTGGTTGTGGTTTTAAATGTAGCATACTAATATGAAAGTGTTATCAATCTTCTTTTGCAATTTTAGCAAAAAAGCAAATAAACACATGAACCAAAATTTCATACGAAGGATTTAAAGGTCCAGTTTGTAGGACTTAAGAGAGAACATAAATTGAATATAATATTAATAACTATGTTTTTATTATTGTTTGATCATGTTACCAATAATTGTGTTTTTGTAAGCTTGAAATTAACTTCTATTATCTACAGAGGGTTCTACGTTGTGCTGCCACGTTTCTACAATAACCGAGAAGAGACTAATCTTTTATGTTTTGCTTTAAACTGGCAGCCCTTGTAGGTTCTTCTACAAATTTGGAAAGAGAGGGTTGAGGGAAGGGTATTTCATTGGGTGCTGCCTTTTCTGCAGCCTCACTAAATACCACTAGATACAACTACTAGATACCACTAAATCCTGCACACTGACCCTTTAGATGTGCGACCAAATCAGACATATACAAGTATTCTTTGTATTGATAACATAATGTTGAACCTGATCTCACACCTGACTGTTTTGTGATCCTGAAAATGAATTTAAAAAAAAAAAAATAATAATAATTTTAATGCATTTCCACTTACCATTGTACTCAGTTGAAGTGATGGACGAGGCTATGGAGCCGTTCTCCCAGTCTCGCTCCATGTTCCTGCTGGACGCCCTGCTCAGCAGGGGGAATGACTCCATAGAGCACACAGACCCAGCCCTAAAATACACACCGATACGTCAATCCAAAAACGACAAGGACCCACAAGACTAAAACAGATTACCAACTCATCTCTGTGTTTATACACAGGAATTCTCACCTGTGTGATTCTGCCCCTCCAGAGATGACACTGTCTGGCTCAGTCGCCAAAGACAGCGTAGAACCTCGATAACTGCAGCTCAGATCAGCTGAAAATGGAGACAGAAGGATTTAGCACCAATTACTTTTGTAAACAAGATAACATTGTTGTTTGCTCAGTTCCACAACTGATCTACTGTATTTTCAGAACAAGCAAAGACCCAAATTTATACTATAAAGTTAACTTTGAACAGTTCATAACCCTGTAACACGAATGACAGAATGACAGATTGATCAAAAGGAAGGCAGACTTGGCTGCTGTAAAAAGACTCATTGATCTTTCTAGCATTCAATCCATGGCTGACTTCCAGAGTTTGTTACATAAACTATCGTTATCAGCTGTGTGCGCTTGATATCACATCATGCAGAGCAGGTTAGAAGGTTCACCTCCCCTGCAGCCTGCTGCTGAGCCCTGGGCTTTGATCAACATGGACACCTTCAGAGAATTACCTGCACAACACACATGCACAGACTCAGAGGACGACACAGAGCACACGAGTGAACTGAACGCACACAGCAGTCTGTCACATTACGTACACAAGCACACAGATCTAAACACACAATACTGAAGGCAACATGAAGAACTAGATAGTGCAAGATGTTCTTACGGGTGGTGGATACTTTGGAGAGGCTGCTGGACTCTTCCCGGTGCAGTGATTTAGGCCTGTTCCTGCGGGATTTAGTCCGTGGGCGAGGTTTGACCAGGCCCTGCTCCTCCATGAGGGCTTGCTGCTTCCTCCGCAGGTATTCCTGTTTAATTAGCTCTCGCCGCGCCTTCTCTTCCTCCTTACGAATACGGTCCTCTTCTGCTTTACGCCTTTAACAAAGAGAAGGAGTTTTAACACAGATTTCCACTCTGCTACAAAAACAAACCCTTACACACACCTTAGCCTCCTCATTCGTGTTAGCGTGTGTGAAAACGTACCGAGCCTCATCGCGCTTGAGTTCGCTCTCGACCTCTTGCTGCTGTTTGCGTACTCTTGCCTCCTCAGCTTTGCGCTGCTGTTTAAGGAGGAAGGCCGCTCGACGTTTCGCCATTTCATCCTCTGCCTTCTCATCATCCTTGAAGATAAAAAAGATGATCTTGATATGCTGCATCACAAGTCACACACAGAAGCACGATGTAAATGCAAACATGTGGACTTTACCTTAAAGAAGAAGCCCAACACATTCTTCTGTTCTCCTTCTGCCATGCAGTCTGTAACGTCTGTGCTGCCATCCTCCAGTGGCTCCTTCACCCCCGACAAGTCAACCTCAATAAGTTGACCCTTAGCTCTAGCAGAGTCATCCCCACCAACAAACTCTTTCCCTGAGCTGACAGCTTTGAGCTCCTGGCGTTCTGCATCCTGTGACACAGAGTTGGATGTGCTGGAGATGACCGGTGGGTCCTGTGATTGGGGTTTGTCTGAGGAGCGCCCAGTTCCTTCTCCGCTGCTATCGTGGACTCTGAAGGTGGTGCTTCTCTGAACGTTTCTATCAGTTCTGGAGCTCTCGGCGATGCTCCCTGTCTCAGGCTCTCCAGCAGAAAGTGCGCAGTCTGAGGACGGGACGCTTAACTTCGACGCAGACGTCTTGCTGTGTTCTTTACTCTGTTTCCACTGAGAGGCTTTGCCGCGCTGGCTGGAGCTAAGCTTGGGAGGACGGCGAGCGGGGACAGAGTTTCTGCCGCTGATATCTACAAAGTGAACTGCATAAGATCTGGAGTCTGAGGTAGAGAGTTCTGGTTGCGCTGTGTTGGGGTTTGTGCTTGGGTCTGTTTGTACACAGTCTGGAGGGGAGACCACACTCTGCTTCGTCAGGTCTGGTTGTACAGGGTCTGGAGGGGAGACCACACTCTGCTTCATCAGCAGGTCTTGCTGGAAGGAGAGCTGCATCATCTGCTGCTGAATAGAACTGATAGCTTCATTAAGTAGATCTATGGAGCGGGAGCACTCGTTCAAGTCGGGTTCAGCCATGCTATCTTCAGACATGGCGTTCAACCTGTTGTCTCGGTTCATCTGTCCTCCGTGTGTTTGACCTGCTCTTGCCTGCACCTTCAGAGCATCAAGACAGGAATCATCCCTGCAGGACTGTGTCTTTGATTTACTCCTGTCAGCAGCTGTTACCTCTGAGGATTCCTGGGAGTGTTTCAGTGGTAAAGGAAGTGTATCACTCCTCCCTCCACCCTTCTTAACAATGTTCAAGAACGCAGCTTTCCCCAGCTTTAGTCTCTGCCTTGCCGATAAGGTTTCCATCTTCTTCTTCTGATACTCTATTGCACGTCTTTGCTCTTCTAGCTGCATGTGAAGTTGCAGCAGCTCTGAAGGCACAACTGGAGGACTCGCCATCATATTCTTCCCCAACACAGTGCTAGGCTCCTTCCCCAGCCAACCTGAGGTGGGTTCACTCCTCAGTTGCCAGGGAGGGCAGGGGGCAACCTCAGAGCCATCTGGTGTGGTCTTCTGGGAGCTGCTGGTGCTTGAGTATCCATCACGGAGGCCAAGTTTCAGGAGCTTTCTCTCTGCAAAGCTCGTCATCTTGACACTGGCACTGCCTGAAGCGCTGCAGCTGCTCGCCCAAGATATGGTGCTGGGGCAAGGGCTCGAACGTCCGCTGCCATCCTCCTTATCCTCCCGCTCGCTCACCTTCAAGTCTTCCCTCAGTTTGGCAGACTCCCCTTCTCCCTCCCCAAACTCAGCCAAGTCTCCCTCCTCTAAGAACCTCCCCCTTCCTCTCTTCAGCACCTCTTTAGTCAGCTCCATCTGATCGTCCTCCTCATCGTCTTCCTCAAGGTCTGCAATGTCAGAGTCAGAGTCATGCCCAGCCTCCAGCACAGTGGAGAAAGGACTGTGGCAGTCTGACTCTCCTGACAAATGAAGGAAAAAGCCTTGAGGCTGTTTCGTCACAGACTGAGAGATGCCAGTTGAGCCCTCTGTGGGTGGCCTGAGAGATGTAGGGACTGATTCTACCATCAGTGTGGGTGTGCAGACACTTCTGCTTGACTCAGCCACAGGGGATTTTCTCTGTGAGGTGCCTGGGACACTGATAGTTGCTTTCCTCGCACCTGCTGCTGGTCTAAAGCGACTTTCACCGCTCTCCTCCTGCTTGTTCAGGCTGATGCTCTTCTCTTTGGCCGGCTTAGGGACGGCGGGCATCAAAGGCTCTAGATAGTAGCTGTCTGCCTGGTGATCCAGAGTAAAGGGACCCGTGTCAAGGCGGGGAGAGCAAGAAGTATTGGGAACCCTGGAGGTGGAGGCTGCACTCTGTATTTCCAGCTCATCCTGCTCCATGTCACTCCCAATTCTTTTTCGAGAAAAGGCAGAAGGGTGGATGACGGCAACCAGTTCCTCCTCCTCTATTTCCTCTTCTTCGTCCTCTATGCGCATGTGACTGAGTAAGCTTTGACCACTGAGTCTGTGCTGAGACAGACCTGATCCCAGCATGTGTTTGGGGGTAATGCTCATGATGTTAGAGGCTAAGCTGTCTTTGCTGATGGAGCGAGCGAGGCTGATACTGTCGGCGTCGTCCTCTCTGGCAAAATGCAGAGCGTAGGGGGCTTGCTGGGATAAAGGTCTGAATGGGGTAGTGGGACAGAGAGATAAATATGAGTTAGGTGAGTTCAGTTATAAGAATTTGTCTGTTATATTCTTCTTTGCTGCTACAGAAATTGTGATGACTGTAATCCCGTTGCTCACCTCGCCCTTCTCTCCGGCCAAGCCAATATGGAGCCCTGATGTTGTCCATCTGCGAGAGAGTTGGACCTATTTCTCACCACTGTGTGGAGAAAATATGATCCAGATTAGAAACACTGCAACTGGATTTTTTTCAACAAGATAACCTTTGGGGAGGAACTCCCTAGATGGAATATTGCACAGGCAAAGTCTATTATTTTCAAAGGTTACAACCAAACTTTCATACAACTTAACAACTTCCATCACCACCACAGATCCAAATGTTCCTCCTGCTCTCAATCTTCCCTTTCTCAATTCTCCTGTATGTTTAGCTGAAGTTCAGCAACAGTGCCACAAATCAAACACTTTACATCAAATGTCTATAAATGAGTTCCTGCCCAGCACACCGGATGGTTCTCCTTTTCCACACCTCGCCTCATCTTCCTCTTTTCTCTCTCTCTATATCATCTCTCTCAGGGTCCCTTGGGGGTCTACTGACCACAGAAGCCATTATTCATCCTGAAACCTTCCTAACACTGCAATCATCATCCTGCTCCAAAATCCCTGGTTACTCCTCTACAATAAACAGTTAATCTCATTTGAAGCTGTGGTCCTTCCTCAAAAAAAGACCTTTATTTGTGACTTGAGGCAGCAGCAGCTGCAGAGCGTGAGTAAATATTTGCTTATATTACCTGAAGTGCTCTCCTCAACCACCTTCTGTTGTCTCTGTCTCAGGGGAAGTAAAGGGTGAGATGGGCTTGTTGAGCTTTGTTTAGTGCTGTAAGAGAAAGATGGAGAGATCTGGGTTTTGTCTTTGGAAACGTGCCACCACATGTGTAGCGCAAAGGTATTTATAATATGACAGCAGTGAGTATCATGAAAGTGCTTTGGTAATCTACAGTAAAAATAAGCAAAAAATACCAGATTTAAATGTATATCACATATAAAGGTGTTCAAACTTTTACGAACTAAAGTATGAGTACTAGGAATGTAATATGTAATTTCCTTAAGTTCTATACTCAACAATACGTTTTACATTACAAACACACAAATATGCAAATGGAAATTCTCAATAGACAGGTGGTGCCGTAAAACAATTCTATTATTGAAAAGCAGCATTAATGAGTAAATCAGCAACTTGAACATTAATCTGTGCTGCGTTTCTGTAAAGCTTCTACTACTGTATGATACCTGAGGTCAGGGCTCGGTGGCGTGGTCAAAACGTCTGCAGAGTTTGATGATGTCATGAAGCTTCGTTTGGTAACGTTAGAGATGGGCACATAGGATCGAGAACTTTTAGGCTGCAGCAACAGTCTCACTGTGAAAACAGCAGAAGGGGATACGACCCGTTAAAAGAGCGCCTCTAACACAGCAAAATGCTGCAGCTACAATTTAATACACAGTGGAGTGTATGCTGTACCATCTTTGACTTCCTGGAGATCCCTGGGCTGTACAAAGTCTGGCTTCACATTCTCAAACCACCAGAAAAGCTCAGCAATGAAGACCATGACATTATTCTGCAAGACATAATTAACCAGGTCAGGATTGATAGCAAGACGTGACAATAAAACACTCGAGTCTGTTTCTTTAAGTGAGGCTTTGTCATTTTCGCTGAATGGTATAGTGACAGAATAATGACAAGTTGAGTTTCTCTTCAGTTGCTTTAAAGACAAATTAACAGATTACTGGACTGTAGATAAACGGCACTACAAGAATAAAACTATGAACATCTCTCCTTGAAAAGCATGGTGTGCTCATTTCATGTTTTATGCAGTCTAACAGTTGCACAAGCAGAGTGATAATGTTGGCAAAGTGGCAGAGTAATGTGGGTTAAACTGCATTAAATATCTGATATTAGCTACCATTAGCCACTATAATCTTTTGGTTCCGCCAAACGAAGTAGCAGTGAAACCCATGAATATGCTGAAAGAGATATAAAATGTAAATGTATTCCAATAAAACTACAGCGGCAGTATTAGTTCAAACTATTTAAGCTTTGCAAATTTTACTTTAAAATCGCAATCAGGTAAGTGACAAAGAAAGAGTTTTTAGACTCACCTTTAGTACTGGTGCAGAGTACAGCAGGTCCTCAGGTTTCAAATAAAAACATTTGTTCAGGTACTCAGTAGAAAACTCACTCAGTAGCTGGATGTTGTATACACTGTCTGCTATGGAGGGAACCTCCTTCAGACAGATATCTGCATAGAACAGGACAACAATGGTCAATACATTCACACTAATACTGTGCATTATGATAGTTTAAATGTATATCAAGAGCTGTGAGCAGTTTGAGAGGTTTAAGACTGGATCTGGAAATCCTCTGATGGTCTCCTGACTCTAGCTTCAAACTTAACACCCAGACATAACAATTTCTTCTCAACCATCTCAGATTGGCCTGATTTTTTTATGGTATAAAATCTGGATATTCATGACGATATTTGGGAAATTGTAGCTTGATTTATCAAATACTGCCTAAGATTAAAAACATTTAAAAATGCCCCAATTTCAGCCCATTTTTGTCACACATTGAAATTTGAGGCTATGTTTGGGTGACAATATCTCAAGCACTATTAAAGATAGAAGTCTGATATTTTCACTGTTATTTCTGATCATGCTATTGATTCAGAATATTGGACCAGTATATTAAACAGTCTGATTATGGCTGAGTTCATATATGAAAATAATGAAGCCATCATGAAAAGTCCCATCTTTGGGCAAATATGAACAAAAACATGTATAATGCATTAATCAACTAGTCATATTTTCTGAACCATATGTAGTTGTATGTCACAATACAAAACAAAACATACAGAATATTTTTTATGTGAAATACTTGGTCACAAAAATGAGAAGAAAGGTACTGTTGTTAAACTTTCACAACTGATTGTGCATATATGACCTACTGTATTGCTGAAACAAACATTTTGGTAGATAGCCTAATCCAAGTAGAACGGAGTTTCATCATGGTTCTGCAAAGAAACTAGGAAAACATTTTTTTAATGTGAGTATATTTATCATTTTCAGTCCAACTTTGTAGGCATGAACCTTGGTTTGGAGAACACCTGTCATACAGTTTTGTGTAATTTCTTTTGCAGTTATCACTGTGACATGCAACTCCACATGGTTTAGAAAAGATTCCTAACAGACTTAAATTTTCTTTTTTGTTAATTGGTGCTCAAAGATGGGACTTTTTTCTTCTTCAAAGATTGACTTTTTTCAATGTAATACTTCACACATACCATTTCAAATTTCCATAGTTTATTTTACAAAAAGGTTTCAAGCAAATCTGAGATGGTCGAGCAGAAGGCCCCTGATAATTTGAGATGGAAAAACTTAATTGTATTTTTCCAAAATGTCCAACAATTCTGTTAAAGGATCATATAAAGTCTGGAGAAAGAGTGTTGGACTTTAGCTTCAGAAAGTGAAACGCTTTAGTATCCTGTAGCATTTTTTCGGTGGATCAAGTGACTCAGTGTAACTGTACCTTCCAGTCTGATGAGTTCTGGGCAATAGAAGTGGATCACAGCCAGCAGAGCAGTGCCGTCACACACATCCTTCAACAGGTCGTCCAACAGGGGGAAGTGCTGAAGTGTCCGACCCGACAGGTGATCTCTGCGGTAACGCACCTACACAGCAGGAGAGAGCCCAAATTTACAGTGTAAACAAACTTATCTAATCAAACACTGAGTCACATGCTCGCTTGTTACACATAAACACAACATTTCTCACTTTGTAAATTATTCTCTGCCTCTCTTTCACACAAATACTCTAGAGTAGGTGTAATTGGCATCTAGTGCATCATGGGTTTTATTTATGTGGTATCAGATCAGGGCAGGGGGAGTCTTTTAGTGTGGTCCCTTGAGCATTTGAACTCTCATGTGGTGTAATAATGTGTGTCATAATGACTGGAAACGATGGTTAGGTATGACAGTTTGAGTAAGGAGAAGGTGGGTTTAGTAACCGGTAGGTATGAAAGGGAAAAATAAAAAAAGGTCGGAATGAAATAAAGAAAACGTGAGTACATTACCACACGAGAGAACTCCACAGGCTCCAATAAGCAGTGGGCCAGAGCATGCATTATATCAGGCTGGTGAGGGAAGAAAGAAATGATCGGGAGGAAGTTAGTGATGAAGTGAGACAAGCCGTGAGTGGACGGGTAGAGCCATTCAAACACTGGGTTCCGTATAAGTTGCTTTATGGTGATGATGTGTTTGCTTATTTCAGCTCCAATGAATAGCAACAAAAAAGAAAGTACAGAGACGTGTGGATGTTTTGGAAAAAGCAGGTTATGAATGGAAAAGCTCAGCTGAAAATGAACAGAATTACTGAAGGGTTTCAATGTGAAAGCAAGCAAGCAGTGAAAACTTTATGAGCGTGGTGTTTCCTCCTTTGCCACTAGGGGGCACTGTGTCATCTTCACATTACTGCATTTATGCATCCAGAAAAAAAAGGCTTGTTTTTTTTTTTTTTATCTCTGGCTTTTTTCCCCTTAATCCTATTAGAGTTTATTTTTACCCTAGCTCTCCAATGTACCACCCCATCAAACACTGACCTACAACAACAACATACACATCAGACAGACACACAAACAGTCACACAGAAGATTGTAAGCAGTTGCACTTACAGGTACAAGCTTCCAGTACCATTTGGAGGGAGACTAGTATCCAAGAGGCACGAAGGGAAGGAATTTTGGGAGGAGGGGGAGATACAAACAGGAAGAGCAGCAGACAAGTCAAGGGTCAGATACAGCAACAAGGAATCAGATTATCTCCTGTTAGAGAGGAGACAGATCTGAGGGTAAAGATAAGTGGAAAGGATTAAAGTGAAAGAGTCAAGACAATCTAGTTATACAATAACAGGAAACTAACTAACAGCATAACCCTTTGAAAGATGACTGAAGAGGTAGTCCAATAAGACACTGTGCTAACACTGCTCTTCTGGCTCAGTTCGAGTCAACAGAATGGAGGGTTTCAAATTTGGAGGCACATCAAGGAGGCAGACGGAGAGACATGAGGCATTAGCTGCAGTTTGTATCAAACTCTGAACTCATTCTAGGACTCAGAGCTTCATTGGATCTGAACACATGATATACTTTTATGTCTAACACCCCACAACTTGAGATCACCACTTTATGTTTTCTATAGTATTAAAGCAATTAAGCTGTAACTGTTTGCACATTATGGGTGCATTGCAAACTGGAACTGCTAATAGCCAATTAAGCATACTTTTAATAGTGCCAGTTTCACAAAACACTAATGCCGATACCTGTGTAATCTTAAAAATGGGTTTGCAAAGTTGTAGCCCAGCAATAACAAGCTGATGGCAACATTATATTTCCCAAAGTCTCCAAATTACTGGAACTGTAGATTCAAAATATAGTGCATGATATGGCATACTTACTAAATCAAACTAGAGTAAAGAATAAAAATGGGAGTTACTAGTTGGGATTTAAGACAAAGGAACTTTTTTCACATCTATTCCATGAGACAGGTGCATAGGAGCAGGACCAGCAGGTCAAAACGTTTCAAACTGACTCCTGCACACGGTCTACCTCGCAAAAATACAAATACAATAATTTGCAACTTTCAGTGCTACATCTTCATCAGGCAAATGGTTTGTTACAAAGCCATCTTAATCTTAAGACTGCTACTCTCTGGAACAAACCATTTGCCTGATGAAGCTCTAGCAGCGGGAAAAAAAACAAACTGTGCAGGAGTGTGTTTGAGCTTTATAGTTATAAGTGGAGAGCCCGCACTGTCAGACTTTTTAAAACCTCTGACACAGGCTGTCCACACATGACCTCAAAAGCACACGTTAATCTGTGATCAGAAGGTGACGTGAGGATCACAATGCAAGCAGGAGCAGCGGATCTGACAGGTAATACACATAAGGATGAAATGCATGGTGTAACATTATAGCCAGAGGGACAACGGACGAAAGCAATACCATCACTAAAGAAAGACACGAGTCAACACAGAGGAAGCTTTTGTTGTGAGACACTGAGCGAAAGAGACAGAGTGTGAGACAAGGGGAAAGACCAAATCGTCACATTGTGTTTTACCTTCTGGTGGCTGGGAGAGTCAAGCAGATGCTGCTTCATTTTACACTCCTTTTCCATGATCTCCCTCATCTTAATGTTCACCTGAAGCAACAAAGATGCTGTGTCAGCGCAAAAACAAGAAGGCAAAAACCCCAGACAACTTTAACACCCATGTTTGGTTGTTACCTTGTTAATCCAAAAGACCATTGCATCTTCCAGGTCAAAAGGAAGTTCCTTGGAGGCACTGAAGTTTGAAAAGCGCTTGACACTGGACACCACCTTCTCTATGCTGATCATCTCCACTGTGTAGGCCATCATCAGGGAATCAATGAGGTGGATGTGGGAGCTCTGGTGGAACAGAGATTTTCAGCTGTCTGAGTTGTGGAAACAATGATTTGGTAGGCATTTTCAGTCTCATTTAGGTAATCCAAACCTGCTACTATTCCTACATTCCACATACACACTGATAATTTTAGAATCACAAGTCTGCTTTTAATAGACAGTCTGAAAAAAACTGATAAGTAATTGTTAGTTGGTGTTAGTTTACATGTAATCATGCTCTTCTGTCTCTCTTCCTGAGCTTGATATTATTCAGCTTGATATTATTCAAGCTCAGGTGCAAGCAAAACCAAGAACCACATTCATCTAACATTTTTTAAATTTCTGATCAAAACAGCTTAAACTGTTGCTTCTCAGCCAACTCGTGTCCTGTTGTGTTTCCACACCTGTGGGATACAACTAATACCTCACCAGAGTAGGATAATATTAAATGAAAAACGCTGAGCCTTTGGTTCATTTTGCCTCATTAATATTTTAGTTACAGACTCTAAAACCTGCAAAACAGTCACATTCACTGATGCATTATTTATTCCAGTGGTCTTGGCTCCCTTTTGACTTTGGAGAGGAAAGTCATTTTAGCCTGTTACCAGATGGTAAGTGTGGGTTTTCAGTTCACTAGGTTATACTACTGCAGAGAATGCACCCTAGTTTGTAGAAACATGAATGTTTCCTGGCTAACAATTATTACAGCAAGATTTTAACATCTTTTGGCTTGTTTGGGCAGTGAAACAAGCTATTAAACAATGCTGGCATCCAAAAATCATGATACAAAACAGTGTGATTAGCAAATTGCAAATGCTGCAATTGAGGTTAACGTCGTGCAACATGTCCACTTTGGTTTAAACTGTGTGTCAATGGTTTTACAAATGAATGGCCCCTTCTTTGTGTGGCAGCCACACTTTTGATGGCGTCTCACATGGTAACACTTCAGCACAATTTACATCAATGACACAATGAATATTAAGCTGAACTCTGACTTTAAAAATGATACAACAAACCAATAAGCACTCACATTATCTGTCAGGTAACAGGTCATTGTGTTTGGAAGCAGGCAATGTTTGGTGTGATTTTATAGCAGTTACAGCTGATAAAATACTAATCACAGAATCTGAAAGTATCTGAGAGTTGTCAAAACTTCGCTAAACTTGCTGTAAAAATTTAGGTTTCTTAAATCTAGACAACAAAGTGGTATCTGCATTTTAATGTCAATCATCAATACTGCTGCTTGGTTTTTAAATTGCTGCTTGAAGCTTTCTAGACAGTTGTGCTGCTTTCATCCTCAGACTGAAAGAGAAAATGGCTCGTCTCTCTCTCGATCTCTCTCTGCTGCTGAGTGGCTAACAGATCAGACAGTGTTTGCACGGGGAACCTGACAGGTATATGATTTTTTGAGACTGAACTTCAGCTTCCTAAAAATACTGATTTCAGCAAAACACCAGTAGATTATAAATAAATATCAGAAAAGGAATTGTGAAATGCAGAGGCAAAACTATCTACAGTGTAACTACAGCATCCCCTGGTGCTCGACTGGCTGACACATTCTATTTTCTAAGTTAATGTACAATGCAGTAATTAAATTGCTAATGCTGGTATTTAATTAGACATTTGGTATGACCAACCATTTTTATGGGGGACGAACTGAGATCCCGATCAGACACAGGAGTGTTGTCGGTCTCCAGGACATAGATGCCTTTCCTGGACAGGTTCTGGATGACAGACTGGTGGCTTTGGAGCGAGGCAGCCTGCTCAGCGTGAAGGATGAGTCCACACACACGGCAGTAGAGCTCTCCGGACAGCAGCAGGCGGATGATGGGGGGCTTGATGTGTTCCTGCTCATACTGGTCTGTATAGAAGGGGTCCCGCAGGTCTGCAGGGATGTGATCTGGAAAGAGGAAAGAGGGCAAGCATCCATGTATTGTTAAGTTATCTAATGTCTAATTGATGGGAGATTTTGTTTACTCATCAAAGGTGTATTAATCCACAAATCACGCATCCACACTCAAACTATTCTCGTACAGACACGTGTTCACCAGTGTCTCACCATGTTACATAACACAGAAGGTCCAAGTTGCAGATTTTCTAGGTATTAGACTGTCTAAGAAGAAACCAGTGCAAGAGCAAGGTGCTGAGACAAAGTCAATGGTTGAAAAGCATGCCAGGTAGAAGGCCTATAGGTGGACCTGAGGCTTTAAGCCAATGAGCTAACAGGACTTAGCGATGATGCATAATCTGACAGTGCTGTCCCAGCCACCACAGTGTTTTCCTGCTAGAGGACACAGACATGGGGAAGCTATTTTTATTTGCCTTCGACACGTTAATCCAAAGTTGAGGCCTGAAGCACTCCGGAAATGTAGCTTCCAGCATTGTCTGGATAGATTTCGGCATCAGGCAACATGGACACTGTTGATTCTTTTCAAGCAAGATACCAGCAATCAATATGATAAAGTTAACAGCTGGTGTGCATATCAGAAGTTTAAACTTAGGTTGATGGATATTTCTTTTGAAAATGTATTTAATATGACAGAATAATCTCTAAAATGAAGATTATTTAACAGCCTGGACTGTATTTTAGACGTTCTGTCCACCACACTAGTCTGGATTGATAAAAGTCGACTTTGCAGATACATTTCAGAGATGTAAATGCATGCCCAATCCACTCAACAAGCTTTATAGACACTTACAAGGCACAACATCAAAACCAGTAGGCTAGTATGGTGTAGGTCCCCTTCATACCACCAAAACAGCCCTGACATGTCTAGCCATGGACACAGGACATCTTGGAGATGTGGTGTCTCTCACTTGGCAGTGGGTCCTTTGGCTACTGTGGATCAAGCTTGTTCTAGCACATCCAGCACAGATGCTGGATCAGGTTTGGACGTGGGGAGTTTGGAGGCTGGGCCAACACCACGCCTTCTTGGTCTTGCTCCACAAGCCATTCCTGAGCAGGCCACTGAGCAGGACATTGCATAGCCCACTCCTGCTGAGGAGTGCTGTTGCCATTAAGGTTGTGCTTGATTGGCCACAACATTTAGGTGGGTGGTATATGTGAAAGCGACAACCACATGAGTGCCATGACTCAAGGTTTCCCAGCAGAACAGTTCATTGTAAGGAGATGATCAATTAAATTCACTTCACCTGTCAGTGATTTTAATGTTATAGCTGATCGCTGTACTCTTTCTTGCAGTTAGCCAGCTAAGAGGATCGATAGCACTCTCATATCTGTCCATTAAATATGAAACAGGAGCCAGGAGGTGGTTAGCTTAGCTTGACATAAGAACTGAAAGCGAAACAAAACAGCTAATCTGACTCTATCCAAAGTTTTAAAATGTCAGTCTGAGAACACATCTAAAGCTGAGTAAATAACAAGTTATATCTTGTTTGATTATTACAGGAAAATACAGTAGTGGCCAAGTACAGTGACTTCCTGGAGTCTCCATAATTGCCTTAGACTAAACCAGATATGAAGATATATGACAGGTTGATTTATTTTACCTGTGAAGAGCCAGGCTGCTTGCCCGTTTCCAGTGTTTATGCTAAGCTAAGCTAACTGTCTTTGCCTCCAGCTTTATAGTTAATGCTCATAAGAGGATGGTATTGATCTTATTTTCTAACTCTCAGCAGAAAGTGAGGAAGTGTACCCCCCAAAATGTCCAACTACTCCTTTGATAATAGAGCAGGCCTCATAGGCAGCAGGGTGCTGCTGCTTTCTCATTTACCGTTGCTATAAAACTGCAGTTGAGTCTGCAGACACTGACATTGTCTGTGTCTATCAAAGTCACAAGTCTCCAGGTCTCAACAGTGACAATGATGAATGAAATGCTGTCGTAAATGATTTGTATAGCCTCCAAAACAAAGACAATAGGAGAAGAGGATAAACAATTATACTTGCATCAATATTTAACAGCTCTGAAGGCATTAAAGTAGAAATAACAAAAGTATGCTTCCTCATTTTGCCATATTGACTGAGATAAAGAGACAAAACAAGTCATCCCTCAGTGGAAAGCACACACACAGCAGGCTTGGATAAGAACTACAGCACGCTGTGAAAACCTCAGCTGCATCTTTTACAACAGACTGCTTGCTTGGCACAGTCTACAAACAGGATCTATCTCACTCTCTGCTGATGTAGTGCTGCCATATGAGCACGACAATCCCAGATCGTGTGAGATAATGCTCATCGTACAACCTTCCACGTCTGATTTCATGTGTCTTGTTTTCCTCCAGCTCCTTAAACGCACCAATTTTTGCACTCTTGGTTCCTCAGCCTCAGCTGTCCCAGAAAGCCCCCTTGTCCTCCCTGGTTGCCGTGGTAATGGTGATGGGGAATGCCAGCATGGCCGGGGGAGGGGGCTGGGTTGTGTGTCTGTCCCATCTCCTGCTCATTGGATCGTTTTATGGTCTCTGACATCGGGAGGTGTATGTGTGCCGAGAAGAATTGGGGGGGGGCTCTCCTCGCTAATCCTAGCTGCTAATACTCCTTAGATATTTATTATCCACCTGATCCAAGCATTAAAACCCCCTCTGGTGTGCATATGTGAGTGTGTGTGTGGGCTATAAAGAGGAGGGGGTGCAGGGAAAGTCTTTGTTTCTATTCTTCCAGGCACAAGGTCAGACTGACCAGCAGAGATCTTGCTGCCAGTAAAGGCATAGCTGTCAAGAGTCTGGGCTCTGCAGGGCAAAGCTGCAACTATTGTCTCCAAAAGGACAGCCTAATGTAGAAGAGAAAGTATAGCCTTTAAGCCAATACACCCTTAGGTACCCTTGAAAGTCAGAAACAGTCAACCGAAAACAATGAAAGCACTGGAATCAATCTGCCAGGTTCTTTAGCTTAATCAAGTTCCCACTTTCTGTATGGCTACTGAGCAAGCACTCAGACATTTCAGTATAATTCATAACCACTGATCCATACTAGAAGCATCACATAGAGTGTGTTCACATTTGATTTTATGATTTATGGCACTAGCATGTCATTGCATAATGTCATACAGCTACTGTGCACAAGATCAACATTATCTGTAGTTGTGGCACAAAAGCCTGCATGTATTATTTACATCCCACAGTGAAGCGGGGCAAAATTATAAATTAGTAAATATTAGCTTATTGAGTATTGGCATACACCAGGGAATTTTGTTCAAGGTCAGTGATTTGGTGTGATTGTCCACAACAAACCAACATTTCATCAGCGTATACTTTAAAGCAAGATACATCACATTTCAAGACAGCCAAAATACATTTGAGCCAAGCAAGAGAAGTTTCATTGTTGTACGTCACTGCGACCCCCTTGGGGTTCCGCCACAAATGACATATTTCATGTGATTAGACCAGCACAGCACGTCTCAGACAGTTAGTTCATATTCATTTCTGACTCAAGCATATTCTTATATTTACGCGGATTGTATAAATTGTTTACTAGAGAAAATAGGACAGATTCTCTATGTGTGATTTGGCAGCTTTGAGCAAATTCTTAATGTTAGTGTGAGAATTCAGCAGCATTTTCTCCAGTAGTTAACGCTGCCATGAAAACAATTTAAAAAAAACAGTAATAAGCGCCATTAAGACCACGCTTATAATCATCTGGAGATAGTATCACTGTGAAAAATCACTCATTACTCAAGGAAGTCAATAACAGTTCAGTGATGAGTGGGAAAGTTATTCCAAAATCTACAGTGTTAAACTTAAAAACATATTGTGTTTATAACACAAGATATGGGGTTGTCTTGCTGTTTGGTCCAGATATGTAGCAAGGACTGAACTTTGACACGCACTTCAACTTTCTTCATCACAGTGCTCTTATTAAGTTTAAGGGATCCGTATCTTTGTATGTTCTTTTTCTGTTTATGTATTACATTGCCATTAGCCAAGGCTTTCATCAACAATCAAACATTTATGCTCTCAGATATCAATACTAGCATTGATATAAAAGATCCACGATTATATAACTACACAATGTACCACTGTACATTCTCAGTAAATAAACAGGCATTTATTTTTCTCTGTACTGAAGCTGAAAGTCACAGCCTGACAAAGCAAATATGGAACTAGCACTGATGTAAACAAACATGGCTGCTCATTTTTATGCAAACAGAAAACTAAGAGATGTATAGTGCAGAGTTTACTCCAGATGTCAAATTTAATGGAAACCCCAAAGAAGTACTATTAAATAATCTACGAGTACTTCACACTTGTATAATCAAATTATTTTTCCGAGGCAATTTTGAAAATAAGAGAAAAAAACTCCCTTGTTAGCATTTTGTAGAGTTAGAAAAAAAATTGCCAGTGGTCTTTTTTGTAATAGCATTTAGAAAAGGTTTTGATGTTTCTCCACAGGTCATTAATAAACATGTCATGAGTCTAAACAAACAGGCCGTGTTGAACAAAGACACAAGCCTTCAGGTCCAATCCCATTAAACACTTAAACATGTGACTGGCTGTGCTGACTTTCACACACAGCACAGTCCTCTGAGCGCTGCTGTGTTTGCGTGTTTGTTTGCAAACCAGGGATTGTATCACAGAAAACAAACAAGCACATCCTACCAATACATGTTGGATTATTTACTGTAGATAATACTGAACTAACAGGAACAGAAACTTTCTAAGTTGTCATAAATGATGTAATATTCTTATCACATTCTCAGGACAATATGTCTCTAAAAACAGACTATAATGCTCCAGTCAGTTTGGTGTCTCACAGTATCGCAGGATAACAACCAAAATCTTTAATTTCTTCCTGAATCTAAAGTCCACATCTGCTGTAGCACTACAGTATTGTGATGGTAACACTGAGTAGGAAGAGGAGAATCAGTATGACGTGATAAACCAAACCCCAGGTTAGGAGCGTCTCAAAGGCACCAGGCCTGACTAAGAGACAACAATTCGAGGAGTAGAGCTGAAGAACTGATTCTCACTGAAAGTCGCTTTTTCTTAGCAAACTGGCGAATTGCAAAAGCTGCAATCTAAGATATATATTTTGCAGCATGTCTGAGCCTGAATTTAAATGGTCAAGTCAATGGTTTTAAAAATCCTTGCTGTCCTGATATATGACAGTTACTCTTTTGATTGTGGTCTATGACACAGTGAATAATTAACTGACGCGTGACTTAAAATATATATATATATTTATATTGCAGATCCAATGGCAGTATCCACCAGGAAATTGCAATTAGATTTTTTCCAAAATATGCTAACAAATATAGAAAGGTATTAGAATAAGTCCTTTGTGGCAAGGTGCACAGATATGGTGAAGTATCAGAAGAGTGTCTGCACAGAACTGATTGAGAATAGATCAATTAATTAAAATATAGCATTACAGTAAAGTGTTATAAAGCACATTTAGATAAACAATCCATCATTTTAAGCAGAAATAGCAATATTCCATATAGCCAGCTTCTAAAATGCAATTGCAAGTGATATTAAACCCAATATAGTTTGATATTGGATTTAATCATCAATCCAAGAATGATTTATGGATTTAAAACATGACAGCTGAATCAGCTACCTGGGTAATCAATTTGCTGCTCAAGAGCAAGTTCGTCTACAAATATCTTGATAAATAATTCATTATTTAAGTCATTTTTTCAGTAAAATCTGAAACATTTCCTAATTTCAGCCTCTTAATTGGAAGGATTAGATGTTTCTTTGCCCAAACAACAAACTAATTGGCAGATAAACTGATAATTACAAGAATTTCTAATTGCAGGCTTCTGAAGTGTGCAAAGCTACTTGCACTGTAAGAACTCAAGGTGATAATAAAGCAAGTCACACAACACTGGTGCTGTTTATTCTATGAGGAAGGGCTGCAGTTAAAGCGAGAAATCAGTCACTTGATTAAAATACTCAGTAGGATTTCTGGCACACTGACGACAGAAGGAGCCAATCAGATTAAGGCAAGCAAGAAGCTTGATGAGGTGATGGTGGTGGTTTGGTGTTTATTATGGGCTCCGAATGTCAACACAGTGTTGAGTAACAGAGAAGTAAAGCTTTAACCAGCAAAACAGATCTAATGGTATTTACAACATCAATGCTAAAGCACTAAAATGCTCCAGCGTGATATCAGCGATGCTGAAATGCTGCATCACTGGTATAGGATGAAAGATTTTTAAAGTTTGGAAATCTTCACTTTGAAAACACTTTTTCATATTTCAATGCCTCTAAACATATTTGCAACAGAACATTTCCATTTTAATGGCAACGCAAGCAAGTTCCCATCTCAGAGGCAATTTACCGAGTCATCTACTGCAACACAGAAGACAGCACTGCAGGGAAGGAAACACTTAAACTACAGTATGTCTGACTCATAAAACAGATACGATAACAATGAGTTTTCCTTTTCTAAACGACTGCCTGTGTGTTTCCCTCGAAATGCACCACTGTCATAGTGATGATGAAGACCCAGAGACTTGCAGGGCTGCATGAACAGCACAGCTGACCTCCTGCTCACACTCCTCGGAGAGGAGCCAGTGAATGACACAAAAACCCACATTCGAGGAGTAATTTCCAGACATTTACTTACAGCCTGCCTATGTGGAGCAATCATTTTTAATGTTTTAGAAGACCTCATCAAAGCTGGCAAGGCTAGTGACCTGTGCATAAAAGACTGATCACGAAACGTCAGCCTAAGTCTTCACACACAAACATGAAGGTCTGGAGCTTCGTGGTAGGAAAATGTTCTCCTCAGAAACTTTGTTTACATATTTTACTGTAAAACAAAATGCACAACAAAGTGTGTGATCCTCTTTGTGAATGTTTTTATCATTGCAAACCAAACAATGACACATTTCTAAGTAAGTCTATCAACTACAGAACTATATAAATAAATCTATAACCACTTTAATACATGATAAGCTACATGGAAACTGCAGAGCTAGATATAACACATCCTGTTTGTCTTTGTGAATCAAATCACAATATACAATATTTTCAGATTGTAGACCACAGTTAACAAGTCTGATTATATTTATATTTATTTATTGACACCGATATGGTGTTGATAGTTTCCTGCATTGATAGATGGCATATTTAGACACCCTGACCTAAAAAGAAAAACCACTCAATAGACACAGACTATCTATTATTTTATGAGTGTGACTGTAGATGACCGGAGGCAGTCATCTATGAACTAAATTGATCTTGAGATCCGAGCTGCATGAAGACAAGGGTGACTAACATGAACAGTGCTCAAGTATATCGGCTTTTAACACCAATCCTCCACTATACAGCTGAAATTAATGCTTTTTTTTTCATTATCAACTAAATCTGTTGATTACTTTCTAGCTCTTTTGACATGATTGTGGTCCAGAAAATGTTGAAAAAATAGTCCAAAAAGCATCTCTGTCATAGCATCCTTAGGCCTACTCTTTTTGTGTGTGTGTCTAATTCAGTTTACTATCACATCTTCATCCAAACTGTTGCTGACTGACTGAATAATGGTGTACTAATTGTGTTGACATAATTTTTTTATCCCCTCATGTATAGTTCTAATTTATTCATTCGACTGCATTATTTACTCTTTTCACTGATGCTAAACTGATGTGATAGGCCTGAATCATAACATCTAATAGTACAAATACTGCAACACACTTGCCAGGCTTGGTGACTACGATATAAATAGGTGTTATGCAAAAAAATCTGTTATTATTTAGCACATTGATAAACACAGAAGCTTTATGAAGGTGTACTGTTTCTGCTGTCCAGGAAATTATGCCAGAAACTGTGTTATTTTTGAGGCTCATTTGATAGGATTCAAGGAGTCTGTTCATGCAACTACTGTATAGAGTCTATATTACACAGATATCATATGGGCTATAACTTAAAAATACTCTACATAGTCTCATAATCAGAGTCCAGTTTCATTAAGATAGATTTTGATTGTGACTGAGATCTACGGTGCAAAGAAACTGGCTTCCAAAAATATCTGGACATTCATAATAGTAGTGAGAGCCATAGTTGCCTGATCACTGATCAATAAAAAAATATATTTACCACAACACTGAAAAAATAGCTCCCACTGTAAATGAATTAAACTGTCATGCAAGCATGAAGATATCACTTTAAAAAGCTGTAACAGACTTCAGATATATGATTAAATTCATCTGTTGTGCAAATCCCATTCAAGATCACCTGCATTAGGACAAAGTGACATTGAATTGTGGATATGTTCATTGCTTTGTTCAAACAAAAAAACATGGCAGACCAAGAAACTGCTCAGCTTCCTCCACACCAGCAGAAAACATTTACGTCAGCAGTTCAACAGTTAGCATCATTATTTTCATGGGAAAATCCAGCAAGAAGCATCACAACATTTTTTTAAAAAGCCTAATTTAGAGAAAGAAAATAAGTTGGCAGGAGTCTCAAAGTCAGGCCCGGGATTGTTTTCTTAAAAATGACTTGCTGCTTATGTATCCCTACACATTACTGCTCGCTTTCCTTTCTCATTTCTCCGTAATCTCATTAACAAACCACAAATTATGACCCACGCTTTCATTTTGTGCTACCAATCAGCACATGTGTCTGATTTTTTCCTAGAAAACTAGCTTATTCAAGAGTGAACCTAAGTAATGTAACTTTTAGGAATAAAATCAGCCAGTATGTAGCTGTGTGACACAGTCAGACTGTTTTCTAAAGACCAATCTAAGGGATCTTTGTGACACTGACCCCAGAGTTCTGTTCATGTGCAGCTGATGTTTGCTCCAATAAATGAATGGAACAAATAAAAACACTGTAGTGAGGAAAAAAAAGGACATCATTCAAGGTCTCAGTGGTGCGAGACAAACTCAGAGAAAGCCTTACCTATACCATAGGCTTTGGCAAACAGCCAGCGGAGATTTGCGTCTATTTTGGCTCTTGCAGAGTCGTAGAGCTCCAGCGGTACAACCTGAGCCTCCATGCCTCCTCCTCCTCCACCACCACCACCACCACCACCATCATCATCTGCTGCTGCTGCTGCTGCTCTCCTCCAGGTGCTGTCCCTGCCAGCACTCACCTCCACATCCATCCTGCACACAGAGACACAGAAACATTACTGCTAGTAGCTGCCAACAGCATTACATCATCGATATTAAGAACAACAACCAAGGCCTGGCTCACTGACAGCACCTGCTCTGTGATGACATGAAGCACAACACACACACTCACCTTGTCTGACCTGCAGGTACATTAGGTGTCTGTGCTGTCAATCACTGTGGTTCCTGTGCCATGTCCATATGTATGCACTTTAAAAGCCCAATCAGCAGCCATTTATTTGCATGTTGTTGATTATGACCAGGTGGAAGTGAAATGAAGAGCTGCACTCCTGGACATAAATGAACTGTAAATGTAGTTTTATTGATCAAATAAAACATTAACGTATTTGACAGCCACTGGTGGGTGTTTTCCAGCTGGTCCAGGGTGTAAAGGATGACCAGTGGCTGACCTAACGTTAACCTAGCTCCGCTAAGTTCACTGTGATGACGGTGGGTTAGCTAGCTAAACTGCGCACACACACCTCGCATTTTAAGACGGCAAATGCAACAGAGACTCACCTCTAAGAGCACATTTGGGTCCTCGCCGCTGCTTTGTGTTTGATGTATTGTGTTAAAACGCCGACATGCTGGCCTGGCTTCAGCTAACGGTGAAATAACAGAGACTCCTCCCCGCCCAGCGACACAAATCTCCGGCCTCTCAGGATAAAGCTGCGGCTGGCGGCTGATGGTCGTTAATCCAATAATAAAAAATCTGATTGGCAACCATCCGGAAGTCTGTTTTCGAGGAAATTATTAATATCCCACGGCCGGCTGCTTCATACAGCGGCTGTCATCGCCTCTGACAGAGGACTAGCGGTGTCCTGTTGTAGGAGCCTGTCTCTATGGGGACGGACGGGTGTTACCTTCAGTCGGCTCGGCTGCAACACACCTGTCCGCCTGCTGGGGGCGCTGACGGTCCGCAGACAGGGACGGACAGCTCTGGACGGCTTTGTGGCAACACTATAATATACTGTACTAAACTAATAAACTACACTATAATATACTGTACTAAACTAATAAACTACACTATAATTCACTGTACTAAACTGTACTATTCTATTATGTACTGTACTATAGTATACCTGTGTTGTGCTGTACTATACTATACTATACTGTACTGTACTGTACTGTACTGTACTGTACTGTACTATTATGTACTGTACTATGCTATACTGAGCTATGCTGTAATATAACATTATGTTCTGTGCTATAGTATACTATGCTATGCTGTATTATACTATTATGTACTGTACTGTACTATACTGTGCTATGCTGTACTGTAATATTATGTACTGTACTATAGTATACTGTATTATGCTGTGCTGTACTATAGTAGTATGTACTGTACTATATTACAGTATACTGTACTATACTAGTATGTACTGTACTATATTATACTATACTAAACTATACTATACTATACTATACTATACTATACTATTATGTACTGTACTATGCTACACTATACTATGCTATGCTATACTATTCTATGAATTACTATATTATATTATACACTATATACTATACTAGTATAGCAGTGAAGTGCCATATTGTATGTTACAAAATGTGAAATGATTGATAACGCTCACAAAACATGTTGCTTTGTGAGTCATGCATTAAGGTAGACTGAAGAAATGCAAACCTATTCAAGTATGAAGGAGGCAGTGGTGGGTATTCAGTTTAAGAAACCGTTTGAAATCTCGCTACTTGACCTCTCTTCGTAATTGGGTTGTTTGTATTTTGCAGAAGGAAGAGAAGCCAGATATCACAGAAACTCCTGTTGCTCTCCTCACCACCAGAACAGATACCTACAATCCCCAGAGCATCTGTGTTGTATCTGACTGTAAGGGCCTCTTAATTATGCATTTTTATTATTTTGAAGCAAAATTTGTCTGTTGTCAGAAGAAGAAAATTTGTTTTGGGGATTTTCTGAAACCAAAACTAAGGCCCATTTGATTGATTTCACAGCATAGCATCATGATTATATGGATATAAAATGATGACAGATTAATGTTCTGCTATTGGCATGTTCAGCCAGATGCTGGAATGAGTTTTCACTGTTGTATCTGATTGTTATTTATGCAGTAGGTGTGTCAAGCTCTGATAATGATTGTTTAGGCCGAGAAAAGGCAATGTCAGAATGTCATAAATGTGTTTATATTGACACATTTCTCTGTAGACAGCAGTGTAGGTATAAACTATGCTCAGTGAGAGGGATGTGAAATATTCAACTGTAGTTTAAAAGTCAATATTTTAAGCTCTGATCATAATTGTTTATGCCTTGTAAAATATAAACAAGTTAAACTGTGACAGTGAAGTTTATCAGTATTTTTTTATAAACTACTTGCTAAACATTTGCTATGTTTTAAATACACACTTATCTTTTTTTAACATACAGTACATCATGTTGATGCACCTGAACACATCCTCCGTGATGCTTCCTGGACTGTTTCAACATCACACTCCGTCACCCAGGCGACCCCGTGAGATCAGGCCCAGGATGTGTCCAGGTGATGCAGCGCCACCTACAGGTATCTAAAATATTGTGAAATGTTTGTCAAGTTACAGGTGATAATGTCACTAAGGTCTGAAACGTGTCAGATTAATGCTATAAACAAAAATGTTCCGGTTTTTCTGAGTGTAAATGTAATGTCATATTCTGCTGAACTGTGAAGCAGTTATGATCCAACAATCAGCTGAAGGAGCAAATCAGAAGCTGCTTGTTCTTGAACATGTTTGTTCTCCTCACCTGCCTTATTGGCTTTCTTTCCCCATTGGGCCTTTGTTTTTTTTTCAGAATAGAGCAGGGCCTCCTTGTTATTCACCTCCTGCTCTTTTCCTTATGGCCTCAGATTTTTATGTGTGAAAAAAATAAAAATAAAATTCATTCTCGAAGTGGGTCGATATGCAATTTTCAAAATATGACCTTGAAAAGTACTTGTTATATCAAACTAAAATTTCTCAAACATCTTAATAAATATTCATATTTTAAGTTTGTGAGATATTTTCATTCCAACATAGCCTCAAGTTTCAATGCACAAAAAAATGTGGGCAAAGCAGTATTTGATATATCAATCTAAAATGAAATCCATATTTTCTCCTGAAACTTAATGCAAATCAGAGATTGTCAAGCAGAAATTGTTGTAAAAGTTGCATGATTTGAGATGGAATAACCCAAATGTGTAAAATGGCCATTATCTACAGTTCTAAATCTGTTTTAATAATCCATCAGAGACCACTCAACAGTATGACTAAATATATTATTGAAATGTACCACTGTTGGTCTTTATTTCATTTCACAGAACAGTAAAAACAGGTTAAAGTTAAACAAGTGACATGTTTGAAGACTGAATATGAATCTTGACATGTCTAGTGTTTCCCGAATACCAACAATTGCAGTGTTGTAGCACTTTATATGAACCATTTCATTCATATCCAAATTTACAATGCACACATAGGCAGATGGAGTTATTTTCAACTATGTAATACTGTATTGAATATGTCACATTTTTAATATTCAGTACACTAAATTTGCAATATTTAAATGTAATTTTGGATAGGGGTGGTTTGAAAGAGCGTATTAAAGAGGTAGGAGTGGAGGTAAAGCATTACACTGTAAGGAGCAGG